ACGCCGGATAACAATTCGTTTACTCGTCGTATAAAAAAAAAATCGAACAAAAGATCTTGAAAAAGATCAAAATATGTATCATATGTGAGATGCGAGTTATATCGAAATAGTTTTGAGTTGTGTGAAAAGACTCGTTGAGTGATAGCGTAACTGTCACTGTTTCTGTAAAATTCATTGTTGCGAGTACTTTCATCATGCGAATATACACATTATTCATTTATCCACTTCATCGTTTTGACTGGAAGGATTATTTATGATGTTAACGAAAACGAAAACACCGCAGTTTGTTATTGTCGCATCACGACTGGATACGTATCTTTCAAATTGTCTTTTTAAAATTTCTTCAAATAACGTGAAGCATAATCTAATGTTAAATTCTTAATTTACCGGATTTATATCAACTCGCTATAATATTTTCGCAGTAAGTAAAGTTTCATAGAGTTGTGCGCGAAGATATAGCGCAGAGAAAGTTTTGTCATTACGGTTCAACGTCGCGATCTAAAACGCCGCGTGTTTGCACGACGCTCAACTAGCTAAGATTACGCGGAAGTCGCGGACGAAAATTTCACGAAATAATAAATTTCTCAAAATCGATTACTGTTTTACTTTCGACGAGAATCAAGCACAGGAATATTCTTGAAGAAACTTTCAATCCTACATATAAAATTGCTGAAGTGGAAACGATTAAAATGCTAATCAAACTTAACATTCGTCTATTTGCGCAGCCGTTGACTAGCTGATATTACAATGATTTCACAAAATGATAAATTTAAAATTACAAATCGAACTCGGGAAATAACTCTTGAGAAACTTTATATCCTGAATGTGCAACTTCTAGAATGGAGAAAACAGTTAAACGTTAGAACTTGCGACTCAATCACACTTGTCTGCGGTTATCAGCCAGTAACGCGCCAGTAAGGGGCAGTTTCAGGTCAGATTGGGGTTAATTGAAACGTCCAAGAATGCCGTTCTCGAGTGAGTCTTCCTACGTGATGGTTTGTCCGTCGTTCGCCATTGTCGTTTCTACCGTCGATAATGGCCAATATATGTCCGTTGTATTTAGATGCGGCTAGAGAACTTCGCAGTGAATACGAGAGAGAGAAAAAGTGATGGAAATACCACAAGAGATACAAACGCGAAGACGAATATGAATAAAACGAATAGAAATGGACATGTAATTCTGGCTGGCATGCGAGGTGTAGATATTTTCAGCGTACTGCTGTTACGCGCAACGTTTGAAGCGTGATTTAACTCTCTTTGCGGACGCAGTCTAATGAAAGTTGTTCACTCTTTGACGTGAAACATGTGCTATTGTTGCGACGATGATAGCGACAGCCAAATTAACATGCGTTCAATTTTGTTTGAGCTATACAGGATATCTCGGCAGTGCCGCATAAGCAATTATACTGATTAATATTTAATTACGCAAGACCATCTTGAAATTTTTGGTATCATTATTGGTTAAGTTTTATTTTTTTTTTTTTATTATTAGTAAACTTGAAAAATCTATTTGTAAAGAAATATTACAATTTCGATAATTTTCTTCAATATATATATTTTGTACGTTTATACATATATATCTTGCTTTATGAATTGTGAACTTGATTTGTGCATTTGAAGGATGGAACAAGTTCAACGAGAAACTTACTAATGTAAGTAGGCTGATTTAATCAGAATATTACTTTGATGAACAAACTCAATCGAAGCGTTCCACAGTAATACCGAATGAAATTACTCCGACAGCGTGATGGCTTTGGAATACGATTGTTACCTTATGAAAAGAGGGTATTGTGATCAATAGGATCAGCCTTGGATTTGATCACGACGCAGTTGTCCAAGAGACTCGCGTGTGCGCGAAAAAAGATGCGAATAGTTCATCACATCTTTTTCTTTCATAATCGAAAAACTTTTGAAGAAATTTATGTTTTCTAGAAACATGACAATTTTTTCTTGCTAAAGTGCAGCCGCAGGCGATCTGCAACGTCACATATGTGAAAGACAGCGGATAAAGTGTGCGAAGAACGCAAATGTTTGCAAAGCTGCGAGCAGTAGCGATGGTCAATAGAAAATCCGGCGCGAGGAAAAATCGTGACGAAAATGGTTTCAATAAAAAAAAACGGACTCGGTGCTTTGTGAAGCCTAAAACGGTAAAGTGTTAATAAGAGTGAAAAAAAGTAGAAGTGACGGAGGAGGCGAAAAGAAGAAGAAGAAGAAGAAGGAAAAGGAAGACTCCACACGGAAAGGGGGGCGGTTAGACGGAGCTCTAACAAGTGGCTGCAGCTCGTAACGATCGTCCTCCGTGCACCAACCAAGCCACTCTGTCGTACTGCACGCCCTCCTAACCTAAGAGGGTTCTCACACACATAGAGCCGCTACCACATGTGCACGTTTGTACATGTGTGGCACGTATGCGCACGCTGCCACGCCGCCAGAAATATCGATAAACACGACACGAAGGTCGGCCACGAGCAGCGATCGGCCACCCCTCTTCCATTCTCTCGAAATAACCACCGTCTATTTCCTTTCCGTTCTTCTTTCTACCCCCTCCTCTTCTCCCCCTCCCCCTCTCACCCCACTTGGTATTGTCACGCCACGCGTGCTCGTATTATCGATAATAATTATCGTTCAATCGATGTATGTGTTTGTAAAGCTACTAACTACTTTTTATCGGTCCTTCTTTTTAGCCCCCTTTTTAGCAGCATCACCGCGATACGTCTTTAAACTAGTTGGTTGGAAATTGGCGCGAAATGCTGGATCGGCAATTGTTAAATTAAGTGGAACTTGATGGGAACAATATGAAGAGAGAAAGAGCTTCTACTCTCATACTATGGCCTGTTGTTTCCACCGTTTCGTTTATTTTCTCTTTCGCCGCAAGCATAGTAGCTAGATCGAACGGATCGTTTCTCGCCGCGCGAGGTGTAGTCTCCGGAAACGTGACGGCGATGGAACCGGCCACGTAATCCCTTTTTTTTTTAGACACGATTCGCTTTGACGGCCTTCTGTGAGGCGTGAATTAGACCGGTCGCTATTTGACGTGATTAATCACGGAACTAGGTGTGGTTTTTCAAGCTTTCCAAAGATCTTTTTTTATGCTGGAAGGATACGTTTGTCGTCGGGAGAGACAATTATGTCGCGAATATTTCGTGTTATCTTTGAAGCGCAATTACGAACTCTTCTTCAGAGGTAAAAAAAAACATTTCTTTTTAAATTAAGAAAGCCTTTTTTTATCTTTTAAAGTGTAATGATGCATCATAATTATATCACGAATTCTCATCTGATGTCCGACAGTTAATTTCACATTTGGGCGACACATCTCGCCGACACTTTAATGACAATTCGCTGTAATGAGTTTTATCGAATAATGGAACAAGTTTCAATGTAGTGCAAAGTGAAGCACACGTCGTTTATTGAATGTTCATGATTTCAACATTCGAGTTGATTATCCATATATACGTGCATATATATGTATGTATGTATGTACATTATGTGCAATCTATTGCATGCGGCGGTGCACTGTGCATTCGTGAAATTTGCCTTTATCAAAAGATGCACTCGCATTTATTTGACTCGTGTAAATGATAAAATCTCCAGTTAATATAAAAATCTTTGCATGAATATTAGAATAAATTAGTATGCTGTTTAATCGCAAAATAAAAACTTTAGATGGTACAGTTTGATTAAAAAATAGTAAATACAAAGCAAGTATCAATACAAATTTTGTGCAAATAAAAGTGAATAGTTGAATTATAATGTATATTGCATATTGCTGAATGAAAATTTGATTAATTGAGTTTCTTTAGAAAAATGAAACAACAAAGCAAGAAGTTTTAGAACTCTTAGCTTTGCATGTCATACATTTTTTCCGAGTATCAAATTATCTTTAATCGTGAACGGTCGTTTGGAGGCCTTTGACCCGTGAGCCGCGGATCTATGTATGTGGCTCACGCGCGTGTATCGCGCACGTGTCAGTGATTATGCAACGAGGGTGCAGCGTAAATTCGACGTAATTCCACGAAAATGCCGGATGTCGGTGCCGACAAGCGTAAGGTGAGCGTGCGCCACGAGAGAGCCAAAGTGAGCAATGTGGAAGAAAAAGAGAAGTGCGAGACAGAGAGAAAGAGAGAGAGAGAGAGAGAAAGAGAGAGAGAAGGAAAGGGAGCAACAGAGACGGTGAATTACCGAAATATCCGTACGAGACGCGTGTTCGCGGCAGGTTAAACGTTGAACGTGTTAAACGCATGTTGATGTCAGATTGTCAAATTGCGTGATGGCATTCCGAAATCCGAATATATTTAATATGCGAGGGTTATCTATTTGTCTGCCGGGACTTGAGACATCGCGAGAAAAGTGGAAGATGAAAATGATCCACGGGACTAACGCGTCGAGCACGCGATCGGAGCAAAAGCGTGGGAATCGCGCTATTTCTAGGTCCAAAGCGGCGTCATCGGAACGCGATGCGTCGTGTCACCGTCCCCGCTCGAGTTCTCCGCTCGATCTCGCTTTTTCTCGGCTTATTCTCCTTCATCTCTCTCACGCCTACACGGTGTACGTGCACCCATCTTGCCGTCTCACTCCGACGTCATCGCGCTCTCCGTCGCGCGCGGCGCTGCGCGTCCCGACGCTTCGCCGGCGTCGCTGCACGCACATACACGCACGTAGCGTCTCGTGCTCGCTCGATCGTACGATATCCATCGAGACGTGTAGCGTTCACACGCGTGACTGGAATAGCGAGTAAGAATGATTCCGGGGACAACTTGAAGGGTTGGAAAATGATCTCAATCTGTTAAGAGGGCGGATGCGCCGGGTACGCGAGACGTCGCACGAGAGGAACGGAACGGCCGCGAGACAGACGGAGATGTAGCGAAAGAGAAAGAGAGAGAAAGAGACTGTGATAGAGAGGATGCAGACAGAAAGAGATAGATAGAAAAGAGACGGCGCGCCACCGGTGCACGAACGGAAATCCCGGTCGTGGCGTTTTCACGCCGGAAACAACGTCTTACCTGCTTGACTAGCGGGAGCAGTGTCTGTTCTATGCTACGGGTCTTAATCTCTAGGGTGGCCGGGTCTACGGGGTCGGGTGTCGCCATGATTCGAGCACAACTCCGTGCTCCGTAGACTCGAGCCGAGGCGAGAGGGTTCGTTGCACCCCTCCTACCCCGCCCGCGTGCCCGGCACGACTGCCACCCTCGCCCCCGCTGCGTCGCTGCTTAGTCACCGGACGCCCTCCACCCTACGGGCCCAGCACGGTCGGAGCCCCGTGCCCGAGAGCCGGCTGCCTGTGACGAAGGCGACGTCGCGCAACGACGACGGCGACGCCGACGCAACTACCACCGTCGGGCGCCGGTGGATGCCGGGGCGCCGGGCGTCGCGACGCCGCAACTTCGTCCCGGCGACTCGGCCATCTCGTGGCTCCTCGCGCAACGCTCTTCATCCGAATGGTCAGCATTGACGGCCGTCAGTAATTTCGAATTATGCGAGAGTCGCGGGATGTTTTTTAACAAAAGCTTTTGGAAATTAGATTTTTTAACATATTATTATTTCAAACAATTCAATTTTTTTTATAATTATTTTATTAAATTTTTGTTTGAAAGTCAAATTGAACGTTTAATGTGCACAATAAATATTTTTTTAAATGTTAATTATTTTAAATGCTATAATTTGTATATACTTTTGTATTTTACAGATAAACTTTGCACGGATCGAGGGAATGACAACCCTACTGTTGTATTAGTGAGTGTATTGGTGGCGCGTTGTATTGGTGAGTGACATCAATTTGTTTTCAATATTATTAAGATAGAGCTAAAAATAATATGAAAAATTTTATATTCTCAAGATTGATATAAATTGTATAAAAGTTTTATTCTTTATTGATTGTCTAAAGGTTCTATATGTATATACGGGGGCGTTGCAATATAGTACGCAATATACGCTTCAGCGTAGCAAAATTTGGAGGGGCGCAAAATTGTAATAGACCCCGATAATTTTTGAAGTGTGTAAAAACCGCGTGGTGGCGTGGCGTTTTTTTTTGCTTAGCGCTTGGTGCGCCCGAACCACTTCCAGCGTAGGGGCACTTCTGACGGTCGCAACGCCCCCGATCACAATATAATATAACAAAGCTTTAGAGGCTTAGATGAATAATACAATTATATTCCTTAATTTATCTCAAGTAAACTTGAGTAAAATTTAAATTTAAAACTTATTACTCGCTACTTTTACTGAAGTAATATTGATTTTAAATTGGTTAAAGGATTATTAAAAAGACATTCACAAATATCTCATGAAATTCTTATTTCAGTCTTTTGATCAGGCCTTTCTTAAATTGTGCTTCAAAAACAATTGATATTTATTAGATAAAATATTTTGGATGTCATTGTAGTATAAATGTATTTGTATATTTTACAGATAAACCTTCGCGCTTCAAATCGCCATATATAAAGTTTAATGTGCGCAGTAATTATTTTATAAATATTAATTATTTCAAACACTAATCTGCATTTATTTTTATATTTTACAGATCAACTTTGTGCGCGTAATCGGTGCTACAAAATATATTCGTTCCGTCGTATGTATAACAAAATGCGCGTCGGGAGTGCCGTTAATGCCGAGAGTTATAGCGAATCTATAGATGAACGCATTTTTGTCTGTATGACAAATATTGGGACACGATTTCTTTGACTTAGGCTTGGCTCGGGGGAGGGAAAGGTCGGTTCAATCATAAAATCTCGACTACGGCAGGGCAATCTCGGTTCTACGTGCAGCGCGCTAGTTGTACAGATAGCCGGACTGTCGAAGGTAGTCGAGGACGGCTACCGGAGTTAGTCAAACGCTACCGATTGCTTTTCAGATGTCTTGTATCTAGTCGGTTGATTGCATGACTAATCGCACCTCATCTTCTTCGAGCTTACCTTTGCCCTCTGTTTTGAGAGAATCGTGCCCCAATTGATAAATGTGGTCGTCTGAAACGCGGACGAAGTTCGCGCGTAACGTCGCAGCTTGGACAGTTCGGTTCGATTCGCTTGCGATGTCGGGAGTGTCGTTTTAAGTATCGCGCGATTTTCGTATTCAGGTACGCATGCGAGCAATGCATGCGCCGCGAACGCGTGAGATTCAATGTGAGTGCTTCGAAGGACCACTGAGAGGAGGAGGAGGCTCAGGAGGAGCATCGGGCGCCGGCGGAGCAACTTTACGGTAAGCAATAATTCATTTATTTGTTATTCGCAAAATATTGCATATAAAATATTATATAATGTAGCGGATATAAAATATTTAAAATACTTTAAATATTTAGTAAAATATTTATAATAGTAAATTAATATTCACCATTTTTAGAAATTTTTTACATATTATTATTTCAACTAATTAAACTTTTTTCTTTATTCAAAAAATATATTTTTGAAAATTTTAATTCTTTGTTTAGACGTGTGCATAAATAAACGAATATAAAGTTTAATGTGCGCAGTAATTATTTTATAAATATTAATTATTTCAAACACTAATCTGCATTTATTTTTTTATTTTACAGATCAACTTTGTGCGCGTAATCGGTACTACAAAATATATTCGTTCCGTCGTATAGTATACAAAATGCGCGTCGGGAGTGCCGTTAATGCCGAGAGTTATAGCGAATCTATAGATGAACGCATTTTTGCTGTATGACAAATATTGGGACACGATTTTCTTTGACTTTAGGCTTGGCTCGGGGGAGGGAAAGGTCGGTTTCAATCATAAAATCTCGACTACGGCAGGGCAATCTTCGGTTCTACGTGCAGCGCGCTAGTTGTACAGATAGCCGGACTGTCGAAGGTAGTCGAGGACGGCTACCGGAGTTAGTCAAACGCTACCGATTGCTTTTCAGATGTCTTGTATCTAGTCGGTTGATTGGATGACTAATCACCTCATCTTCTTCGAGCTTATCTTTGCCTTCTGTTTTGAGAGAATCGTGCCCCAATTGGTAAAATGTGGTCGTCTGAAACGCGGACGTCAATTCGCGCGTAACGTCACAGCTTGGACAATTCGGTTGGATTCGCCTGTGATGTCGGGAGTGCCGTTTTAAGTATCGCGCGATTTTCGTATTCAGGTACGCATGCGAGCAATGCATGCGCCGCGAACGCGTGAGATTCAATGTGAGTGCTTCGAAGGACCACTGAGAGGAGGAGGAGGCTTAGGAGGAGCATCAGGCGCCAGCGGAGCAACTTTACGGTGAGTTATAATTAATTTGTTATCTATTGTTGTTGAAAATGTGTGTGTGTTGCAATCAATCAATTAAATATTTAAGAGACTTAAAATATTTAGTAAAATATTTACATTAGTTAATATTTATCATTATTTGAAAATTTTTACATATTTATTATTGTTTTAAATAATTAAACTTTTTCAGTATTTTGTTTAGATATTTAGATTTTTAGATTTTTAGATTTAGATAAGCATCAGCATTTGTCGGCCGGCAGTAATTTTGAGTTATGCATATTTTTAACAAAAACTTTTGCAAATTAGATTTTTAACATATTTATTATTATTTCAAACAATTGAATTTTTTCTACAGTTATTTGATCAAGTTTTTGCTTTAAAATTAAATTAAATGTTTAATGTGCACACACAATAAAAATTTTTTAAGCATTAATTATTTTAAATACTATAATTTTAATGTACTTTTTATTTTACTAGAACAATACAGGCGCGCGCTGCGCATGCGCACTTATTATAGTAATTTAATAATTAGGAAACCTAAATATTTAGATAAATTTTTTTTATTTTAAATAACCGTCAAAATAACCTTCGCTATCAAGCTATCAAACTATGGCTGCGTTCCCATTTCGTCTCACTCAGTGCAGTATCCAGTGGCCGCCATTTTGCTGGATACTGCACTGGAGAAACGTCTTGGTAATTGGGACGAAGTGATTTGGTAATTATTACCAAATATTTAGCTCCCATTACCAAATATTTGGTAATTAGGACGAAATGATTTAGCTCCCATTACCAAATATTTGGTAATGAAAAACGAAATGATTTAGCTCCCATTACCAAATATTTGGTAATGAAAAACGAAATGAGATTTAGCTCCCATTACCAAATATTTGGTAATTAAGACGAAATGATTTAGCTCCCATTACCAAATATTTGGTAATTAGGACGAAATGATTTAGCTCCCATTACCAAATATTGGTAATTAGGACGAAATTATTTAGCTCTCATTACCAAATATTTGGTAATTAGAAGAAATATGCAAGTAAAAAATATCTAAATAATTTTGCAAAAAAATTTATAATTAACGTCTTAATTTTTTACATATTTTTAAATTCCTTTTTTATTTGAATACAACTTGACAGCTTGAGGAAATGTAAACAATTGTCATAGAAACATTTATAAATTGCTAATTAATATTGCCTTGACAACCATTTAAATATAAACTGTCAAAATATATTTTTTGCACATGATCAATATTGCCTTGACAACCATTTAAATATAAACTGTAAAATTATATTTTTCGCATATGACATTGAGATAACCAATCAGCGTCGCGATAAAACTGCAACAATACACTTCGATACTTTCGAGATTTCGATACATTAGACTATCGACTTCTCATGCCTTTTTTTAAGAGTGGATAATAAAAAGGGGTAGGGGTAAATTCAAAAATATAAAATTTTTAAAATTGACCTACGCGGTTATAAAGCTCATAAAAGACCATGCAACTTTTATTCAAAAGATTTTTTGATACCTCTTACAGTTTTGACGATATTTAGTCAAAATCAAAAAAACCGTTTTAGCTTGTAGGGGTTGTTTCAACCCTAAACGTGCAAGAAAGCACATAAAAAAAAAATAC